CAGCCGTGTCTGTAGCCTTGCTGAAGCCGCTCACACGGGCAGAGCCAGCAGGCAGCGGTGTCCCCGTGATGTCCCCTTTGCCCAGTCCCAGCTCCGTTACAGCACCGCTGACATTATGAGACTATTAAAACAGGGGATTGGTAACCTCTGCTTTCCAGCTATGGTAACTGTACATCGAGTTAATCCAAAGGATTTATTTTTTAATAGATACGTGGTGGCTGTTACTGTAGCTGCACTGACAGTGACGGATGTGCTGGTTTAGATAAATTGAGGATCTGGATTTCAGATAGGGACGGTGAAAAATACAGGGTATCAAAATGTTTTTGTTTTTGGAAGCTGCAAATAGTGCCTAAAAGAGGGCCAGTAAGGATCAGTGCCGTAAATACAGGTCTCCAGAGTGGAGGGGCTCTGCTACGCTTCCAGCTGTCAGCAAAAGCAACATTTAAAAGCTAGCAGTTTAATTTTTAACACAAATGGAGGTGAGTTCAGACTGCAGACACCTGCAGGTGAGGAGCTGGGTTTTTCTCCAGAGATACCGAGCCCACTGAGGTTAATGTGATTATGTAAATGACTGAGGTATAATTGTGTTATTGCCACCCATCTGGCCCTCCCTGCAATTCATAAGTGATTTTATATTCCCCATGCACTGCAGCACTGACATACAAGGGCACTGGAGATGCCATAAATCACTGCTTGCTGTTTGCTGCAGGTGCCATCTCCCCATTCAGCCTCTGGTGCAGAGCTGGGCTAGGCACGGCCAACGCATCAGGAAAGTTCTTCCCGGATCCGAATTAACGGCCTCTGGACGTAGTCCAGAGGATCGAGCTCTGCTTGTCCTCTCCCAAGTGATGCTCCTGACAAAGCCAGGATCCTGCCCGGCATCCCAGCTACGGCAGCGGGTCCTTCCCAGTACGCGTTTTCTTAGTAGGATAAAACAGATTCGCACTTCCCTCGACAGCTGGGATTAAACACAAAACTGACATTTTCATGTAAAACACTGACTAATACCGCACGCTGTCCCAGGTACCCCCCAGTCCTACCTCTTTTCTAACCTGGGTTTTTCTTCCCATCAGTATGAATTCAAAGCCAAGAACATTAAGAAGAAGAAAGTGAGCATCATTGTGTCCGTGGACGGGGTGAAGGTGATTCTGCGCAAGAAGCAGAAGGTGAGACTTCTCCAGCCCCACCGGGGCACTCGAGGCCAGAGCACCCGGGATGTTGATTTTGACCATGTCTGGGTGTTATTGCTGCTCTGGATAGTCACACTTCTAAACAAAACTGGCCTTTTCTTAAAAACCACCCAGAATTTTCACAAGAAAACACTGCATTTTTCATCAAACTAATAACAAAAACTTGTTGAAAAAAGAGTGGGAAAATTACACTGTGGGAAGAAGATTTTTTTTTCCTATCAAAAAATGTCAAGCTTTCAGGAAATACAGTTTCTTTTTCTTGTTAATGCTGGTAAGCTTTTTCAGCGCTGCCTGGGCTGAGCACCCCTCAGCTCGTTGCCCAGGCTGGGCTTCCCACCAAGCAGAGCCAGCGGCTGGACCCAGATCTCCTAAGCCCTAGCTCAGAGCCTTCTTCCCCAAAACGTGTTACTCTTCTGCATATTTGATGCTATAAATTAATCTTAGGGACCATTTTCAGCCTGAAAGCTGTGAACAGATGATCGTATATGATAAATGATCAAAGAAATCTATTTTTATCCAAGGTACTGATGAAACAGCCATTGTTCATATAGTCAAACTGTAGCCTGGATTTGGCTTGGGACAAATGCACCGTTTTCCAGGGTTCCTGCCCATCAGCCTGGTGGAGTTTCATTTTGACTTGACTCACTGTAATTTTGGTTCTGCCTTCTGCTTACAGAGAAAGGAGTGGACCTGGGACGAGAGTAAGATGGTTGTGATGCACGATCCTGTGTACAGGTACGTGGCAGGGGATTTACCAGCTAGGTCCAATTAGCCCTGAGCGATGCGTATCCATCCTGCCGCTTGCTGAGTTACCTCCACCAAGGCTGGCTTTCCAAAGGACCGTGAAAAATTAACGAGGTTGCAGAATTACCGCTGATGGGGAATCCTTTTCATACATTTTTGAGAGTGAGACGGACTGATCTAGCTTTGAAGCTGGCTCTGCTTTGAACAGGGGTTAGACTAGATGACCCCCAGAGATGCCGTCAACCCGAATTACTCTGATTCTGACTCTGAAGACAGGCTTCCCACAGTTTTCCTTCACAGCATGGCTTGCCGTGTCCTTCTGAAGAAGGTCCTTACTCTAAGGTGTAAGTGCTTACAGGGAATTAACCCATACAGGACGTGGTAAGATAGCACTGACTTTCCATAGCACCTGCCATGGGATCTCAAAGTATTTTGGAGACCACAAGCCCCACCCAGAGGTTTACACTGCATCTGTAAACTTTACATGTAAACTGTAAACTACAGAGGTTTACTGCATGTAAACCTGATGCCTCAGGAGCCATCAGGGATGGCTTCCTTGAGGGCAACCCCACCAACGGTGCGTAGCCTGCGGACACAGTTAAGAGCACAGGTTGCACCAAGCTGTTAGATCTACCAAGTGAATAACCGTACCACGAGCGCAAAGCCCACAGCCCCAAGGGCTGGGATCACCAACATTGGCTGTCTGGGTCAGAGCCCTTGGTGAGGAGCTAAGGAGCGGAGGACGTGCTGATGCATTATCCGAGCCTACCTCTCCCTTCTGGCATTTTTTACAGATTTTTACAAGATGTGGTACATGGGCAAGAGTTGCTCCAATTGCAAGCTCAACGCAAAAAAATCCAATGACAGAAAAGGGTAAAAGAAAAAACATCTCAAGAATCCCTTTGGTTTCTTCTCTATTCAGAGCTGAACTCACTTGTCACATTTTTACCTGATTAAATCAAATATATAAAAAGGTCTTTAAAAATGGTTTTGCAGCATGGGGAGGAGAAAAAGTCAGCCTGAACAGGAGAGAAGTTCTCTGAGTACACTCAGAATCCCTGGGAGAGGCATCCAGGGGACGCTGGCTTTTGTGCGGTGCCACCTGCCTGCTGCTGAGAACGGGCCCGGGCTGGGTCCCCGGGCTGGGTCCCCGGGCTGGGTCCCCGGGCTGGCTGCACCGAGGCGGGAAGGACGTTCGCTGTACAGGCAGTTGTGCCACGCTGCAGCCTGGGCAGGGATTAATTGCTGGGGCTAGAAATAGCCACATGCTTTCCAATACTATAGATTTTCTAGCTTTCCCACAGCATCTTTAAAGAGCTTTTGCCTATTTCAGAAACCAGAAGGTTTTCCATCAAGCCAGAAACATTCTCTAAATCTGTTGCCTCCTGCCTTGAAAATCGCAGGAGGGGGCCATGCACCGGCACTGCCGCATTCCTCCGGCCCTTGGAGCTGTGAGCCAGCCGTCCTGGGGACACATGGGAGCCTCCAAGGTTGTCTGGGCGCAGACTCCCCTGGGTGTTTAATTCCCTTTGTCTCTCTACCACCTAGAATCTTCTACGTGTCTCACGACTCACAAGACCTGAAAATATTTAGTTACATTGCAAGGGATGGCGCTAACAACTCCTTCAGGTGCAACGTCTTCAAATCAAAGAAGAAGGTAGGCTGCTGCCTGGGCTACGGCCGGGTCCTCCCCGGGCGAGAGGTCTCTGAGGGACCTTGCACCTTCCCGTGCAGGAGCCAAAGTGACCGCTGGGTCGGAGGGTGCAGATCCCTGGGGAGAGACCAAGGCAGCGCCAGTGCTGGATGTCCCCAAAAAAACGTGCCTGGTGCCTGTCCCCTCCTGGCCCAGCTGCCCGGGCAGCAGCGCAGCCCGTCTGCCCCAGCCCACACGGAGATAAGGGCGTTCATCTCCAGGAGCAGGGGACCGGGCAGATGCCGTGTGTTGGGTCCAGTGGTGGGCAGTGCTGGAGCCGCCCGGCACAGGAAGAGACACAGCAGCGTGGGGCAGCCCCGGGACGGGAAGCGGGGGGAAGGCTCCCAGTTTTCCCATTGGCAGGGGGGCGGCAGCGGCGGCAGCAGCCGTGGCCTCCGCAGGGCTGAGCAGCATGGGTTTGCTCCGCAGAGCCAGGCGATGCGGGTGGTGCGCACGGTGGGGCAGGCCTTCGAGGTGTGCCACAAGCTGAGCCTGCAGCATGCCCTGCAGAACGCCGACGGGCAGGCGGACGGCGCCAGCGACAAGTCGGCAGAGGAGCAGCCGCTGGAAGGTGACGCGCGGCTCCCCATGGGGCACGGGCAGACCCCTCCCTCAGCAGCGGCAGCAGGGATGCTTTGGGGTGGGGAACTGCAAAGTGGCATGTCCTTCGTGGGCCAGCTCTAGTGACAGCGAGAGCTTCAGGCCCCTTCGGATGGCGGGCACAGGGAACCTGCCCTGTCTGCCCACTCATCTTGGGCACCAGAAAGGCAGAGGCTAAGCCCCCTTGTCCAGCAGGCTGAGAGGTCTGCAGGCACCAGCCCCTCGGCTGGCCCGCTCCCTTCCTCCTGCACCTTCACAGCATGCTGAGACTTGGAGCAAGTCTGGGACGTTGTCCCTGAGCTGTCACCTTGGCTGCCAGCCCTGCTCGGGGCCCCGGCTTCTTGCTGCGATCCTGCGTGGGGGCGGGGGGCTTGGGTTTATTTATCTGTCTCGTTTGAAGTTCACCAGATAAAGGGTTCCAAGATCACGGATGCGGACGAGGTTGGCATCGACTCTGACGGCATCTGTGTGTCCGAGAGGGGACCCGGAGAGCTGCCCGCTGCCAGGGAGGACCTTGGCGTGCTGAAACCTGGGCAAGCCTCAAAGGATAAGAACTGCCAGGTAACACGGGGTGGGCTGGGGGACGGTCCACGTGCTCTGCCACTGCTGGGGTTCCTCTGCTCAGGGTCACTGTATCACGGCTTGATGAGGAGGGGCTTTCATGGAGACCCCGTTGCAGAACCCCCTCCTGGCTCCCTGCTCTCACAGCCCCTGTGGCAGGACAGGGTGTTCAGCACCCGGTTTACTCGCAGCTAAGCTGTGTCCCAGCGCTGGGGCAGGGGGAGAGGCAAAAGCTGGGAGTGGGACCACGGCGTATGGCTGGGCGGGCTTCAAACGCAACCCGGGAGACCCCACCGGTGCAGGCAGGGCAGAGCGCAGAGGAGCTCTGCTGGAGCCATCGCCCAGTGCTAGAAAGGAGAATCGAGGCAGGACCCCCCCCTCCTGCAGCAGCACCCACATAACAGGTGGAAACTAAGAGGAGGCATCTCTGGCAAGGCAACCGTTTCCCTGCCATGCGGGGTGGATTTCTGTGCCCCCAGTGCCCCTCTGAGGCAGTCACTCGTCCGACTGCCCCAGCAGCGACCCCCGGCTCCCTTCGCCCCCCAGGCCCAGGGAGCAGTGTTCCCGAGGGGGCCCAGCCCCGGCAGCACAGGCACCCAGGGCACGTTCGGCGTGAGCAGTTTTCGCCATAATGAATAGCTGCTCTGCAGAGCTTCTCCGTGAGCGCTTCCCGGCGGCCTGAATGGCATCGCTTCATCTCACACAATTGTATCGCTTGCAAGGCCTGGCTGAAAACAGCTGCGGTGAAATGCACTCAATGGGATTCATTTCCGCGGCTGGAAAGGCAGGGCTTTCCTGCGCTTTCCTTCTGGGTGCTCGAGCTGCCCAGACAGGGGAGGGCAGCGGGCAGGAAAGGCAGCAGCCACGGGCCGGCTCCTAATGGGGCACGCTGCGAGGGGAACCATCCTAAAACACCCCCACTGCCAGGGTGGGAGGCTGCCTGCCGGGGGGATGCGCTGCCTGGCTCTGGGCTGCGTGCCGAGACCCCCAGTGCTACAGAGGGCCAGGTGAGCCATGCATGGGGCCACCGCACGGTCCCCAGGGCACGTGAGGTGGCCGCAAGCTCCCCCACCCTGGGCTGTCTCGGCAGACCCTGGGCTCTGAGCGCCGTGCCGGAGCGCGGGGGGGCTTGTGGCTGGGTCGGGCTGCTCTGAAATTGGT